TTTTGTGCTTCAGGGATTCTGGCTCACTATGCTTGTGAGGAAATTAAAGTACAGTGTGCGTGCGTCAAGGCAGTCGTCTGTAAACAACGGCTTGTAGCAAAGCGTGTGATTGTTGAACTTGTGCTGTAAATGTGTCTCTATCCTCAAGAGGAAAAAATCCAATTCTGGTTCGCTCCTCAGCTGTCAAAGCAAACATGAAATGATCTTGTAGCTATTCAGGTGGAGTTTTGCATTCAGATACACTCATTTGTTTCCACTGTTTAACATTCAGGAATGAATTGTTTGCAGAGAGAGCTCGGGACAGATGAGAGACCTCCACAGTGGATCCCAGAATATATACAGGAGATTGGTGCATTTCCGCTAGCTGACGCATTGGCCACAGCTGAATGGAGAGATAAACACTTGACTAATATATGTATTAGCCAATAAGCCCGTCAGTGGGCCGGAACATATAGCGCTAAAGTATCTTAATCTCCCAACTTTTCCACTCTACTTCCTCCCCCCCACACTCTCTTATTTTTGCACACAGGTCCAGTTTTTCTAAGTTAGAGAGAAGATGGCAGGATGAAGATGGCAGGATGAAAAGTAGGGTCAGAAACTGAGAATGAGTGGCAGATGAAAAGAAAATGGATAAGAGGGAGAAAATGAAGCTGTAAAGGAGAAAGAAGACAGAGAAAGATAATAACGAGAGGTGGTGGAGTGGGGAAAAAGAGAGATGGAGATACTTAGAACAGTATGTTCTGGCTTACTGACAGTCTTACTGGCCATTAAGGTTAAAGTCTCACCTCCATCTTTCTCATGTTCTCTTCCACTTCTGTTTTTTTTTTACCACCGTTTCCCCCTTACAGTCTCTCTAGTTTTTTCTCCTGTAAGTCTCCTCCTTTTTTGTTCTGTTCTATTTTTCCTTCCCCTTCTCCTCATTAATCAGATCCCTCTGTCACATTTTTCCAAGCAGCGAGCACTGTATTTACTCTGTGCATTCACATAATGAATGGAGCAATCACACTGCAATCATGTGCAAGCAGCCACACATATTGTTTGACAAGAGGCTGCATGCATTTGCTTGTTCCACCATCCAGATATGACAATGTTATTGCTGTCAAACCCTGATTCTGTCACACCAGATGCTGACAGGGTTTTTGTGAGGGAGTTGTGGGAGTTTCCAAAATGACATTTTTAATTTGTGAGATGTATTTCAGATTTTGAAAAGCCAGTTAATTTCGGAAAGACCCCAGAGGATATCGGAGACTTTGGCGAGTGGGTCACTGTGCAGGATTGTGATGTTTTTCCTCCCAACTTGTTTCATACATTAATTGTATTTAAGGATGGATTTTAGCTGCTGTTCCCCGCAGTCAACTGGAGGAGAACAGACTGTTTACGCCCTCACAACTCTCCTTAGTTGGAAAATATAAAAACAACTTTAACAAACCCAGAAGGAATAATGTTTTTAGGTCACAAGTGCTCGGACTTAGTTATGGAAAGTCATGGAAAAGTTAATGCAATTCAAAAGAATCCCAACATTATGAGATGTTTACTCACAGAGTTCATGTTTATGTGTTTCATTTGACTTGACTTTTGACTTTTGAGTAAGATTTTGAATTCAGGACTTTCTTTAACAGTGCTTGTAAAAAGGAGTTTTTTTGTGCTATGTAGTACTGTTACTTTTACTTAAGAAAAATATCTGAGTACTGCACTGCTTGTAGGTTACTTCTTAATGAACGTATGTCAACACAGTATTTATTGCTAAGTGCAGTTTGCAGTAACTGTGCTGTAACAGTGAGCTTTTGTGGGCATTTTTATGTCTCCACGCTGGTGATAGTCGTGGCCGTTGGTATTATGGTTTTGGGTTGTCCATCTGTCTGTCTGTCTGTCTGTCCCATTCTCATGCACACAATGTCTCAAGAATGCCCTGAGGGAATTGCCTCAAATTTAGCACAAACGTCCACTTTGACTCAATGATAAAGTTATGACATTTTGGTCATCATAATTCAAAGGTCAAGTTCACCGTTACCTTGTTTGGTCTCATTCTTTTGGACAAGATATAGCAAAAACGCCGTGAGATAATTTCTTAAAATTTAGCACTAACATCCACTTGGACTTCGAGATGAAGGTATTGTGTTTTGGTGGTCATAATTCAAAGGTCAAGGTCACCGTGATCTTGTTTGTGTCATGCTTTTGGACAAGATATATCAAGAACAACTTGAAGAGAATTTCTTCAAATTTAGCACTAACATCCACTTTGACTCAGGGATGAAGTGATTGTGTTTTGGTTGTCATAATTCAAAGGTCAAGGTCACTGTGACCTTGTTTGTCTCATTCTTGTAGAGACGATATATCAAGAACACCTTGAAGAAAATTTCTTCAAATTTGGCACAAACATCCAGTTGGACTCGGGGGTGAAGTGTTTACGTTTCAGTGGTCACAGTTCAAAGATCTAGGTCACTGTGACCTCATTTGTCTTATTCTTGTGAACATGATATCTCAAGAACGCCTCGAAGGAATTTCTTTAAATTTGGTATAAACATTCACTTGGACTAAACAATGAACTCATTTGATTTTCATAGCCAGAGGTCAAAGGTCAAGGTCACTGTTACCTTGTTTGTCTCATTCTTGTGCATACGATGTATTAAGAACACCTTGAGAGAATTTCTTTAGATTTAACACAGACGTCCTCTTGGACTCAAGGATGTACTGATTACATTTTTGTGTTCAAAGGTCAATGTCACTGTGACCTTGCATCCATTTCATTCTTGTGAACACGATATCTTTAGAACGCCTTGAAGGAATTTGTCCAAGTTTGGCAGAAACCTTCACTTGGACTCAGTGGTGAACTGATTAGATTTTCGTGTTCAAAGGTCAATGTCACCATGACCTTGCATCCATCTCATTCTTATAAATATGATATCTCAGGAACACCTCAAGGGCATGTCTTAAAATTTGACACAACGTTCACTTTGACTCACAATAAACTGATTAGATTTTGGCGGTTTAAGGTCAAAGGTCAAGGTCAGTGTGACCTCATAAAACATGTTTTGGCTATAGATAGATAGATAGGTAGATAGATAGATACCAGTCCAGTGTATTGTCCAAGTACACACCCAGGTATTTGTGTGTTTGCATCACCTCAGTGTCCTCCCCTTGTATGTTGACTGGCCGAGGGCGGAGGGCTTAGACCTGGGCAGGCCCACGACCATCTCCTTCATCTTGGAAGTGTTTAAAAGAAGGCAGTTCTTCTCACTCCAGCAACTGAAGGCTCTCACCAGCTCCCTGTGCTCTGCTTCCTGCCCGTCCCTGATACATACCACAATAGCTGTGTCATCAGAGTATTTCTGGACACGGCAGGACTCAGACTGGTTTGCTATAGTGCAATAATTGTAGTTTTTTCTTGTTAAATTGTCAGGAGACTTTTCAAAACGTCGGAATGTGATTGATGTTTGTGCCTTTGTTTCTAAATATAGGCCTACTTTGTTTCTTAATTTACTCACATTTGTGGCACACAATCAGAGCTCTGGAGCAGGGTTAAGAATGGGGACATTGTCTTCCTGTAGAAGTAAAGCATAGCAACAGAAAAAATAAACAAGCATGGTTGAGACTGACACAGTTTTTTCTAAGTGGAGTTACAGAAATAACTGTCATAATAACAGTGAGTGAAATAATAGTTACTGTCAATAGCAGCTGTTCCCAGCAGGCCAGCATATAAGCAGCATTAAGGTGCTTTCCAGTTGCAGTAATCTATGATTTAGGTAATGAAGAAAATGTTTACACACCGGCTTACTCAGTGCATAATGACTTTAAAGTGCAGTTGTTCGACACATTAAAGAAACGAGCCTGTGCTCACAAGTTGTTGGTAAAATGTCGGACCAACTGGGAACCAGTGTGGGCAGGGGAAGCACTTAGACACCTCATCACAAAATGCACCAGTGGAGTTGTTGGCAGACAGTAGTGGATGTACTCAGAAACTCCCCACAGGGCATATTTTACACAGTGAAATTTCTCTAGCACCGCTGACACAGTCTGACTGTAAAGCCTAATGTAGTGGATGGAATTTGTTAAAAAAATTAATTTACTGTGTGTGTGTGTGTGTGTGTCTGTATGTGTGGTATTGCAAAAGTAAATCCGTCTGCCTCTGCTAACTGAGTTTCAGTGCAGAGCCAAATCTGATTGACAGAATTTGCATAAAATTAAATGTCAGAAAGTGTGTGTCACTGAGTAAGAGAGAGTGAAACTTCAAGTCTTCAAGTGCCATCAACAGTGTCTGTCCAGATGTATAGAATAAAATTAGCATGAAATTGAATGTGTGTGTGTGTGTGTGTGTGTGTGTGTGTGTGTGTGTGTGTGTGTGTTGTAGTTATGCATATTTTATCTTTTTTCTAGGGCTGTACCCAACTTTATACAAATATACTACGACTTGTTTTTTCCATGTAAAGTTATAAAGTTTGAATGAGGCCCAGCAGGATGCTCAGTGTGACAACGGCATTCATGTAATATAGTAAACAAGATTACGTGGCAAATGACAGATCTGAAATGTGCAACAATTTTTTTTACTGGCACTACATAGCAAATAAAAGCCAGAGACTGTGTCGTACTACGTGTCTCTCAGCTGTAAATTCACCACTTCCAAGCAGAGGAGAGAAGATAATGTTATATCTGAGCCTTACGGTGTAAAGTTTCTCCTCCTCTGTGCCGCTGCATCACGTCTGCAGCTGACTGTACCAAAGAGTAGTGTGAAAGTCAAGAGTGCTCACTCTGCAGCAAAATCCAAGAACCAAAATGTCCTCAGAAGTACGCTGCACAGCACAAAGACAAGCAAAAAAAAGGAGACGATTGCTCGACTTGGAGCTATCTCAGTCAACTGAGGGGTCTTTGACTGCTGACTGGAATCTCTGACTTTCAGCAGGCAGCCCTACCATTCAATATTCCGATATTTGCCTTGGATGCAAACATGTTGTACTTATTTTTACGCATCTCGAAATTAAACAAATGAAATGTGTGTTTTCCAGTCCAGTGCCATGCAGACTGCCTGTCATGCTCGGGGACTCCCGACCAATGTGAGAGCTGCAGGGACCCAAAGGCCTTTCTCCATCTTGGCCGCTGTCTGTCCATCTGTCCAGCTGGCTACTACGCAGAAGGACGAGTATGTGCAGGTAGGATCAATCGTTTTTCTTACAATGATTTCTTTTTTTGCAAATATATGTTTATTGATTTTAAACATCTAATAAGTTGCACAAACATATACGAACACCGCAACAAGAAAGAACATATGGCATCACATTTAAAAGGAAATAATATTCGTAACGATAATGATAGTTAACAGAATTCAACCATTGTTTTCTCTTTCTAAGGCAGAATAAAACTGTCTGGAAACATGCCTAACACGCAGAGTCTGGGACTTATGGGTAATAAGGGATGAGGTCATCCGAGACACAAACTGTAGCACCGACCTCCAAAATTTTTTCATGATCACATGATCTCACTTTTTACATTGCAGATAAATGTGCTTTGCAAATACATCGCCATGATGTTACAATGCATTAATGCAGGGATTCTCACACTGTGGCACTAACCTGTGTATTTGTGTCTATGAGTTTATGTTTCTCTATATTGTAGATGTATGATTCCAGAATTATTGTACCTAAAATTAACTTTTGTTGACTGCTACCTGCAAGCCAACAGGACACTAGTTCCTGTACTTTCTGATGACTGTAAAGTAAGAAAAATTTGCATTTTTATGGAATAGAAAGTTTCAGGTATATATATTAAATCCAGGTTCTGACTTTAAGCAGCATCTGTCTCTGCACAGAATTATTTATTGAACATTATTAAGAAGAACTAGATTGAAGCAACCTTTAATTTGTCAGCCACTGATTGGAGGCAGAACCTTTGGCTCCACATTCAACAGGAAATACTGAGAGTCAAAGCATTAAAATTTAGTAATGCAACTGTGTAAGTGTGTGGGGCTGACTCTGTTGAATTTTCCTCTTCATCCTTTATTCATGTATGTGTTGGAGCTTGTTCACAGTCACGTTTGCCTGACTGGAAACCAACTGTAGCACCTTGACCGAGCATTGACCTGCGACAGGCGTAATCTTCTTAGCATTTTACTGCATTGAATTCCTAGCATCCCATTGACCTGTTCTCCTGGTGAGCCAGACATTTACTGCCCACAGCTATTCATGAAGCTGTAAACACCAAACGCCCGGTCGCCGTAAAGCTATCAGGCACAGATAAAGGTATTAACTCTGAAGCCTAGCTGCTAATGCTAGCGGCTGAATCTTTAACAGCATTTCCACACTTGTGCTTTAGAAATACAAAGAGTGGTGCTCAGGTCCTGAATGTGGGGATTGTATGTCGATGTAGCTGGTGTTATACTAAGTCTGTTCAACCTGGGAAGTGCCTCGCTGAGAACAAAAATATCTTCAACAGCAAGAGATAGAAGCAGCAGCAGCACAACTGAACACAGAAGTTACCAAACATATAACTCAAACTTAAATTAAATACAATATGAGGGAGATAGTCAAACACCAACAATGTAAACACTCAGTGAGTGTGTTAACATGACCATGAATCACCTGTTTATGAGGCTTATTGCAGCTGTAATCATATCTAAAGATTATTTTATATTCCCTGTATAAATGAAAAATACTACTTACCCTACTGGTTACTGCGGTCTATTTGCGCAGGTGCCTGTAATGTTCACAAAAACAAAAAGGCAATGATGATGAGAGGGACGGGAAATATTAAACCCTACATTATACATTTACCAGTGTTATCACTAAACAACTTAAAGGGATACGTTGCCCATTTTCAACTTGGTCTGTGTCACCACAGTACGGGGAATGTGTGCTAAGGTGTCCCCTATGCCGGCAGCGACAGGAACTCCCAGCTTGTGCTGTGAGCAAAAATCTGTTGGGTGATGCAAAAGGTGGATTTTGTCTGGTGGACAGGCAGGGAAATCTGGGAGCTGGCAGCAAGGGGGGGACACCTAACACATGTGTCTGCACATGATTATGTTTAACCAACAAACACATGGGGTTTGGTTTTGGCAACTAAAGCACATGGCTGAACACCGGCTTCCAGGATGAAAATTGGTGGTTGTTGGACCCATCCACTACCCTGCTCAGACTTCTGCTGCCTTAGCTTTCGTTGTTGTCCTGCCGTGTGTCCTGCTGATGAAAACGGCGACTGGCCACATATTATGCCGACGTGACACAATGGCTTTTTTCTTCACTGTCTGATACCGGAAGTCATTGACGAAGAGCCAGTTTTCAACAACTTCAGAGTGCGACCAGGCTGCACTGAGCTATCTTCAAACCTAAAAGCTGTTACTCTATTCTTATATTACTGTCCTCCACACTGGTGCCAGCCCGTCACTGTCGCCACCTCCACATAGGACAGGAGAGCAGTGGATGAAGATATGCAGCCTCTTTAATGACTGAAAGACAAATCTTCATTTCTGTGTGAGTAGAAATGAAGTAGTGACAGGATAAGGGCTTATCCCAGTTTGTTGAAACAGAATATGGTGTTTTCATGCTCAAACACATAAATGGGAAACTCCAAAAACCCAATCATAAACGGGTTATTTATGTCCATGTAAATGCACTCCATGTTACTTTGCAAATAATATGACACAGCTATGTGGTTAATATATTCAAGAATGCATTAAAAATATAAATAAAGGGTGAACTTCCGGTCTGAGTGGACGCTGGCACGTGTAGCTGCCGCTGCTCTCCGGCTTGTTATGTTTTTAAACTGACATCTGGACTTTGAAATAGACCCTCTGGTTGTGTTCCATCCTCCCTCAAATCTGCTGCTGTGATTCCAGTTCTCAAGAAATCCGGTTCAGATCCCAACATCTTCAGTAACCTCCACCCTATTTCCAGTCTACAAACAGTTCCAGTCTGGCTTCCGTCCTCACCACAGCACAGAAACAGCCCTTATCAAAATCACCATTGACCTCCTTATTGCAGCTGACTCCGAACTTTTATCCATTGAGTGCAGCCATCGATACCATCTCCCACTCCATCCTCCTCGACAGACTGACATCCATTGGAATATCGAACACACCCCTCGACTGGTTTGAATCATGTCTCACTGGCCGCACTCAGTTCATTCAGTTAAAATCCTTCACGTCCCAGCCATCTCCCCTCTCCTCCGGTGTTCCCCAGGTCTCTGTCCTTGGTCCCCTCCTCTTCATTATCTATCTCCTCCCCCTTGGCCATATTTTTCAAAAACACAGTATATAGTTTCATTGCTATGCGGATGACTCCCAGCTCTATCTCTCCGTAAATAAAATGTATTAATATTATTATTATTATTATTATTATTATCAAAATTATAAAACTGATTACAAATGGTCATTTAACCTCTTTTGCATATTACACAGATTTGGTTTTATTTTGAACTTTGAAGCAGAAATGAATGATGTGATTCATGGTGTAGTGCTGTTGGAAGAATAACCAAAACAGACTTGTACCAGCTGCTCTTCATAAAATAACCTGACACAATGGTTATAACATCACAACTGTAACACAGGTCAACACTTAACTTCCTGAGTAGCAGCTGCAGTGATCACAAGAGATGAACAGTCATGAAAAAAACAAGTGGAACTTTTTAAAGTCTTGTACTCTCCAGTGTTCCTCAGTAAATCAGGGTGCTTGATAGCGTCCAGAACACGATGTACACCTACTTATAGAACTTGACAATTTGGATGTTGACATTGGATGATTTAGCGAAAATCTGCATTGTTTAATGGCATTTTCTGCCATTAAACAAAATGTACTGTTAGTTAATTACTTCTAAAACTGACAAAGCTTATGAAGATTGAAGATTGTAGAGGGCAGATTATAAATTGGAATGGAGAAACTTTTGTAAAACCCTAATTTAATTTATATAAAGTCATACAGGAGTAATAAAAAGTTTGGTGAATTATTTCACAACATTAATTGGAATTCTGCTTCTCATAGAAAGTACTGATTTTCATTTGCGCTGGACGCAGAGCCATCAGTGGTGTGTGAGGATGATCCTTGTTTGAACCAATATGGCCACCAGTAGTGCACAGCATGCTCAGTCTCCCTCTGTCAGTCCCGCACAGTCTAATTCCTACACTTTTTGATTTTGTGCATGTGGGTGACAGAAACTAAAGCTGCCGGTCTGAACTCCTGTTGATAAGATCGTCTCTCTTGTCATCCCTCTTCCTTCTCCTCCTTTCCCCTCAGACTTCTTTTCACCTTTCTTGACATTTACATCTTTTTCTCCTTTCACCTCCATCCGTCACTTTCACAATCTCTTTTTCAGGTCTGCTTTTGTCCTTCAAATCTCCATCGCCATCATCATCTTCATCCTGATGGCGATTCTGATCTTTCTTTCCTCTGCTGTCACATCTCTTCTTCCTCATCTTTCCCCCCTGCTATCTCTGTGTGAGCGGATGTGTGGGAGGTTTAAAGGGGATTTAGTTGCTTTTTATTCTGTAATCTTGAGATTTCTCATTAAAGAACATTTGAAGTCTCCTCAGTGTGTTTTCTCTCCCGTTCCGTATGCACCGGTTTCATTATTCTGTTTGTGGAGATGTCTGTAAGTAGATTACATTGCACCAAACAGTGTCTGGCTGCCAAAGTGAACAATCTTTAAGAGTCTATAGGGTGTGTTTAATCTGAATATTTAAATGAAACAATGCATTCCTTTTTCCTCTGTGCAGTATACTGTCATTCATCTTAAAGGCCATATTCCTGTTTTTTAATCTTTTAGTTTCTTTGCTGCAGTGATGTCTTTAGTCTCAGATGTTTTTTATAAATGTTGCAGGTTTCAGACAACTCTGTTTTTTTGGCTGGTGAAACGATTAAATCAATGAAACTTAATTTGCTCTTGTTTTGTTGCCAACAGCAGTTTGGGACACGTGTGGTTTGCAGACAGATATAATGCCGTTTTAAATTGCAAAAACTCTTAATGTGCAAATCTCAGAGCTAGCAGTGATGGTGATTTCGACGACATGCAGAATCTCCTGTTTCCTCTAGTTGTATTTACAGCAGTAGAAGCTGCAGAAGGTAAATTTGCAGCTGTTTTACTCCTGATGTTGTTACACTCTCTTGCATGGAAATGATGTAGCTGATTGACATTTTGTTTATCCCCTTTTTTTCATATATTTGCTTGAATGTGTGCAACATGGGTTGATATATACCCTGGGTTTCCTTGAGTTTTCCTCCACAGTGTAAAAACATCCCAGCCAGAGCAGCTAGAGAGTTAAAACCACCCACAGGTTTGAATGTTAGATTTCAGGGTTCACCTTTAATGAAATGCACATCTAGTTTCTCAGGCAGCTTCGCCTTCCACGACGAGGGGGCAAAGCTATGACAGGCAGTCCTGTAACCATGAAGGAAGCTCAGATAGGAAGAGAAAATTAATTTCTGAAGTGACTGACAGTCAGACTCTTTTTCTCCCCCCCTCTCCTCCTCCCTCCGCAGCCTGCCAGTCATCCTGTGCCACCTGTTCCAGCAGGTGGGACTGCCAGTCCTGTGGCTCCCAGCTGCCCCTGCTCAGCGCTGATAGCAGCGAGTGCCTGGCTTTCTGTCCTCCTGGTTCCTACCGGCACGACAACACACACTGTCGCAGTGAGTATCACAGGATGTCAGGTGACTTTATGCGCCCTCTGGATGTCATTGTGGAGGTCAGAGTGTTGTGTTTTGGCTCAGATTCAGACACTAACAAGGTGCACAAATTGGGGAGGGTAACACTGGGAAAGATGAACTCCCGGGAAAAGTTTTAGTAGTGAGGAAGCCTCGCTGAATGTTGAATGTTTGAATGCTTTTATTTCTCTTGGACAGGGCTTGGCAACCTTTACTATCAAAAACTAGTTGAGCTTCATAATAAAGGTAACACAGCCTTTTAAGTCGAATTTAGCCTATCAGCATCAGTAATAGGTCTAAATGAGCATTGATTAATATGTTTTAGCACAAGGTGACTACTCTGCAGTGGGCTATTTTTGATTATTTGCTACTTTAACTTTGCAGCGTCGTCTATGAAAGCTAAAAAAATTTGTCTACACATTATTGAATTCTCTATTTTTCCCTGAGACTTTTTGGATTTGGAACCCACAGCTAGCTTTGTGAGGAAGACTCAAGACTACTGTAGCCGTCGCTGGTGATGTTTTTAGAGGAAAAGGTGCCAGGCCAAAGACATATGATGCAAATTTTAGTTAACAAAATGTTAAAACATTTTTTTAAATCAGTTTATGGGCTACACATTTTTACAGCTGAAGAATGTAAAAGCTGCATGTGGCTCTGGAGCCGCAGGTTTCCCATCCCTGCTCTCGGAGATTTACTTAATTTGGGTTAAGATGAATATGATTAGGTTAATTCAGATGACTCTGCTTCATTTATCACAGTTAATCTTAATTTGGAGACTCAGAAACCTAAGAATGCTCTATTCAGGCACTTGTATGGGTATTAAGTAGATGTTACAACTTATATAAAGGGAATATATTTTCCGTAATGAACATTTAATTTGACATATGTTGAATGATATTACTAGAAGCCACATAATGCAGATAGTGCTGTTTGTCACTTTATGTTCATTGATATATCACCTTTTACTTTTTCACTTTTCAACCTATTTTTCCACGTGGGCTTATGTCATATTCTGTAAACTATTTTTAAAGAAAAACAATGCTTTGTGGTGGCACTGGGAGCAATTTGTGTGCATGTCAGTGTGGGTTTTCTCCAGATGCTCCAGCTTCCTCCCACAGTCCAAAGACATGCAGGTTAATTGGTGACTGGTTGTCTGTCTCTATGTGTCAGCCCTGTGATAGCTCCCCCATGACCCCTAACAGGATAAGCTGTTATGGAGAGTCAATGAATGATGAATGGATGAACAATGGCTTTGTACCTTTTACAAAATGTATCTATAATGATTCTATATAATCTAAGGTATTTAAACATATGCATCAAGATATGATCATGCTGGATATCCTTGTGGAAATTTTTTTTTTTTTTTTAAAAAAATCTTTCCTACTGTTGTTTGTTTTGTTTTATTCGCTCTACTTCTGTTGTCTAATCCCACACTTTGCAAAAAAAAAATTAGCCGAGAGTCAAATTCTGAAATCAAAATCAGAGCCTTAATATCTCTCAGTTGACTGGCTTCAGATCAGACCCTTGGCAGCGGGGAAGAAAGTGCATCCACAGTTCAGCAAACAAGCAGTTTAACAGTGGGGCTCCACAGTTGGTGCGTCACTGGGTGCTTCAGATAAACTCTGTGTGACTTGATTCCAGTGGATTGATGCAGGATAACTTTGAGTGGATATTGGGACTGAATATTTTACGATGTGACGTTGGAGAGCGCTCTCTCTGGGGTCAAAGTATTATTGCGTCAGTTTTGTAGCTTTGCCTTCCATAAATCCGAGGAAGTCCTTTTTATTGCATGCTGGTTGAAAGCTGTATGTTAGCTCTGTCTCTGCTGCAGAATTGTTTGGAAAAGTTAAGTTTTGCTGTCTTTTAAAGTGGGTACAGGGAGTGCTGCAAAATTTTGTCACGAGTAAGTCTTTCCTTTTCTTCAATATTTCTGCCAACATGTGTCCCTATCCTTCCTCTTACCCCCCTTGGTGTCTGCACACAAAGTCTCTCCCAAGAACATTATGCAAACCAATTAGCACTTGAAAACTGATTTGGAATTGAAAATTAAATGGACTTGTAAATCCCAGAGTCTTAATTTGTCTTTTGGCTTAAGTTTTCTGTTTCATTGGTATTTCACTTGACTAAAGCTGAGTGTGTTTTAATATCATCACTGCTGCATTAAGCTGCACTCTCTGCCTCCTGTCAATCACTCCACACCCACAGGACAAAAACAGAAAGTCTCTGCCAGGAAATAATTCCCTTTTAAAAAACAAAGGCTGTATTGTCAAATCCACCTCTTATTTATTTAGGGTGTCTTGGGTCCCTGTGACAGCTGTTAATTTCAAGCTTTGTTTGAAGCACAACCAGCACATTTTAAAAATGCTGAAAAGCAAGTGAAGGTTAAAACTCAGGGGGTGTAGGGATGACACAGGAGCAAAACATTCAGCCACCACTGCTGCAATCTGGGCTCTGTTCTCTGTAGCAACACCTCTGACTCGGCTCCAAAGAAAAGATGGGCTGTATTTACGAGTGGGAAGCTGGGATTGCACTTTTGTCAATGCAGGAGCAAGTGTTGGTCATTAAACTGCATGTAGGGAGGACTTCCCTGAGTGTCCTGCACTGAGAAGCCTCCTAATGAATCTCCTGTCTCTTACATGAAAGTATCTAAGAGACAGAATAGAGTAGTGTAGCAGTATTTGGCTCACACTGTCAAACCTGCTATCACATACTGGCTGAGTATGTCTAATCACCAACACCGCAGCACATAATGGAGGCACATGTCAGAGAGTAATAGATTTGTTTGAGGATCATTAGGATATAATAGCTTATGTCTGGATCAGACGACACAATATTATTTCCTTTTAGATGGTCATTGTGTCAGGTATCTTTTCCTTAGTCTGTATGTATTCTCCTTCACATCTTTTCTTGACCTTAAGGCATTTGTCTATTCAACGGCAACCACAGACACAATTTAAACACTACAGCTTACAAATGCATTCATGTTTTATAACCTGTGAAGAGTCTGCAGTCTTAAAGAGACTTAAGCCCAGTTCAGACCAATGATTTGTGACAAGACGAAATGAAACCGTTTTAGAACTTTGCAAAGAAAAGTTGCATCGGTGTGTAGGCCTACTGGCCGGTCTGAGCCCGACGCAAGCCGGCTGATGGTGTCACCTGCAACTCAGCTGGCGGCTGGTTTTAAGACATAAAGCATGTCACCTGTTTTTACAGCCAATCAACTTGTAGTGAAGTCCACTGGTCAAGTCAAAATGACCGCAGACGGTGTATTCGCTTGCTGCAGCAGGTGCTCCGTCCCTGCCGAGCCCTCTATTCCATCCTGGGTTACTACTGCTGCTCGCTGTATGTGCTTATGCCCTGCCCACACACACACACATTCTCATTGATGAATTGGTGCTGGTTATTTATATTATTGTGACGTATTGATTATAAATACAGTCCATCTGATGCTGGTACAAATGCAACTGTAGCCAGTATCTCACTATCACTATCCTCATTCAGATTTTAAGAAGCTACCAATTATATTCAGCCACAAAATAAGTCTGAAAAGCTGCAAATCAGATCAGAAGTACAGAGAGTTGTTGACTAGAGATGATACGCCGTCTCATGGCGGTCACTTCCTGTCAACGTTACGGATCAGAAGCACAGAGAGTCGTTGACTAGAGATGATGCGCCGTCTCATGGCGGTCACTTCCTGTCAACGTTACAGATCAGAAGCACAGAGAGTTGTTGACTAGAGATGATACACCGTGTGATCTAGTTGTAGGGTTGCCACCTTGGATTTGTGAAAAAAAGGGACACTCGACCAAATGTTTGAGGCGGAGGGCTCGGCCATTATTTCCAGTTCAGACTGACCAATGAACATGAAATTCGGACATAGGAGACCAGATTTGCCATCATTTCATGTTCTTCTATGTGCCTGTATTTCATATTAATTTTTATATCAATGAAAAAAACAAATCTGTGTGACTAAATTCTTACATTTTTACATGTATCTCACCATAGCAAGTTGGAAGTTGACATATTCTGCCATATATGAAGAGGGGAGACTCTCTGGAATCTGGCAATATAAGAACCATGATGGTGGGACATTCTGTCACTTCACAGCTGTCCAAAACATGTGGTTTGTGCCAGGCGGACATGATTGCCAGTATTTTTTCATTATTGCAAGAAATTCCATTGACTCATTCACAAGTCAAAAATGTGTTTTATCTGAAAGAAACATGCAATATTTACATCTAAGATCATAGAAAAATAGTCAACCAAGTGCAATGATGTCCTCCAAGATAATATTTGCCACTTTGATTGCAGTAAAAAAAAAAAATTGGGCATTGGGGGGGGGGCACGTGTCCCCCTCAATGTATATGGTGACTACGGCCCTGTCAGCATGCATAATTAGGCTGCAGTTGTCTGGGTGCGCAAAGGTGAAGTGGCTGGTCTTGTCATACAAAGTTTGATGGAGTGTCAACTGGACAATATGGAGATATTTGCATGTTGAAAGCCGGACTACAAATGTGGATAGACAGGGAGAAACACACGCAAGCCTAAGACGTGGTAAGATACGATATTCCTCACTATATGAAGTGACTGATAACAAGATCTGTATAATGGATTGTAAAGAAATTCGTCAGGATTTTATTTGGTAGACAATTGATCTGGATTTATAGTGTGATGGGATCACAGCACAATGATGTGTGTGGTATCATTGGAAAGCTCTGCTCCTGCGCTTTCATGTGATATGCGTGGCATTTCTGTGCGACCCTGCATTCGCAAGTAATCCATCCAAGAGTAATGTGTGTGCAGAGCTGTATGAAAGCTCTGTTATACATCATTTTAGTGTAACTTTACCTTTTTTTTCGCTGTGAAAACTTTCGGAAAGCTACGATTCCGCTGTTTCACGAGATATGCGTGGCTTCTTGCTATGACGCACGGTCGCGGAGAAAAACCATAGAGAAGAACAGGTGTGAATTTGGACGCACTGATTG